CAACAGCGCAAAATCAAAATTTGCGCTCTTGGAGTCTCTTGGAATGTTGCCGTTTGTAATGCGTGTTGATAAGTTACGTAGGAATTTTACTAGGGTCATCAATATGAATACCGTCTTGCTGCAGTATTTTTCCATAATCTTTGGCAGTTTTCCTGCAATCGATGAGTCGGCGGGGCCGGGGCGGGGGCGTGCGTTTCTCTGGGCTCTGGTGCTCGGAGCGCTCCTTCATCTTCCTGCAGAGGCACTCCGGCTTCGTGTCTGAGCAAGCACCGTGTGTAAGTTCCCTACAGGATTCGGAGTGGAACCCCCTTGCGCCAGCCAATTCCGGATCTCCTTTTAAATATTCGTTTCTCGTGGTTTCGATTCGATTCCATTCATTTGCTATTTGTTCGCAGGCTTTCATGCACTTTACCCCTCGGGCTTCTGGGGATCTCTCAGATGAGCTCCAAAACCATTTTGAGCAGGGGTCATCCGTTTTGTGGCGCTCCATCTGAAAAGGCATGAAATCATCATCAGAGCTGTTTAAGTATGCATTAATGAGCAATGACAATTTTTCAACTTGGCAACACTGTTTTTCCTCCGTTTAAACCCAATTGAAAATACGGTAGCTAAGGAACAATTGCTGCCTGTCTGTATCTGTAAACCGACGATTTTGTAGCACTAGGAAAAAACTTCGCCATTTCTGTAATTTTTAGGTCGGATTTCCAATATCATATATATAAGCTCCAAGACCTCCTAAATTTGCATATCCTCGTTCCAGCGCTCTACCGGGCCAATTTCCTTCATTTTTGCGCCTATTGACAGGCAATTGTCTCTAAATGAGCCCGCTCTATTCAGATTTTGAAAATGTGACCCAGGTTTTTTACATTACGCGGTAAAGCTGCGAATTCTCCCATTTAAACAATGTAAATTTTTCATTGTTCGTCATAGTTCGTTTGAGCATTCTACCGAGCCGATTTCCGTGATTTTTGCGGTTATCGATAGGCGATAGTCCCTAAATGAGCCCGTTGTATTTAGATTTTGGGAATATGACCCAGATTTTTTTATAATAGAGTATACTAGGGAGCTTAGTAAGGGAGCTTAAAATTTGCGGAAAATTGTGAATCTTGGTCTGTTAGTAAGGTAAGGTAAGTGAATCGAAGGTATGCTCCTTTACTACAGACCATCCAAAAGGGACGAAACGCTCCGCTCCATTTCGTTTCAGTCTTGGCCTGAAGTTTGAAATGAATGCCGGTTTTCTTATTTGATTCTTATTGGTCCAATCGTTCACGGCCAAAAGGAGATTGGACAAATGAAAATCGGGTATTAAAATCTTTTAATTTTTTTGGTCGTTCTTTTGTCGAAGCGGGCCTAAGAGAGGGCGAAGCGCCCTCTGGGGGTTGGGCCGTGTAGCGGCCAGGGGGCACAGCCGCCTAGTTTTTTATACTTTGCAAAGTCATTACAGCACTCGAATGCGGAAATGGATAAAACTAAATGGATCAGCTTAGGTATTTTAAACCGTAAAAATGCGGCAAAGTTGTCAACTCATTTTTATCAATATTTTCAGTTTATATAGGGGTATGGGCCTGTTGCAAACTTTCGCTAGAGCAAAAATAAGAGTTGTTCCTTGTAGATAATGTCTCAAAAATTACGATGAGCGCATTGGCAAACTCTGAAATGCACTCCTAACTTCACAATGTCCGTAAGAAAACTGAGATTTTCAAGCTTCCCGCTTCAAAGAGTTTCACGCCATCGAGTTTCACGCCTCAAACACGATACCACGGCACAGCTGAACATCTCGTTAGAGGAGTTGTTCCATTCAATCCCTGCTCAACATGGCCGATGCTTCTGCGTGCAAGTTGAGGAGAGCACGGCACGAGGTCAATCAAGGCGGACATCTATCAACGCGAGAAAAATAAGAGTGCTGTAAACACGCCGATTGTTATCAGATGGTTAGAATCATCGTCCCGTTACATGCGTTTTGGCGGATTGGCGACGGCTATGTTGAATATTGCGTAGTATTCTTGTGAGCAGGAGTTGGATGGAATGAATCCTCTAACGAAATGTTCACCTGTGCCGTGGTATCGTGTTTGAGGCGTGAAACTCGAAAAATCGCAAATTTCTTATGCAAATTAAGAAGTAAGGAGTGCATTTCAGACTTTGCCGATGCGCCCATCGTGATTTTGGAGACACTTTCTACGAGTAACAACTCTTTTTTTGCTCTAGTAAAAGTTTGCAACCGGCCCATTGTATATTAGCCATAGAATATTGTAGAGTTTAGATGAGGCAAACTGCCTTACACAAACTTAAATCGAAGAAAATCAGTCCGGCCAACTTTCAAGAATCGCCACTGTTAATGAGGCTCTTGGTGCAGGAAAGGCACTTCTAGGTTGAGCTGTTTCAGAATTGCCGATGCTACTTCATATTTTAGGGAGGAAAATAACGAGCAATTTTATTTTATTTCTTAGTTTTGAAAATTGTGAAATCAAAAAAATATTCGATGAAGGCTCAAACCAGAAATACTCGTAGCTATTTGCTCCCCTCATAGCATAGCGGAGAATAAAAGGCGTGGCGTGTTTTGCGATATATCGCTTGATCTGCTATTTAAACCTATGGAAAAGGAGCGATAAACAGGGTGTTCGCAACTAACTTCTCAATAACCGATTCTTTATCACAGCTTCAAATGGGCAGATATCGATAATCGGTCATTCCTGAGACACGGGAGGGGCGCCTCTTCGAGAAATGGATTGCATTTTGCAAAAAGGAACCAGAAGCAATGCAATGTTGGTAAGATTGTACAACTTTATCCATTGCAATATAACTATTGAAATCCTGAAAAAATATATTGAATTTACATGATAATTTTTGTACTAAATTTACAGTTTTCAGCGATTAAAATAGAAACTGTTTACAGATCATCGAGTTTTTCTTCCAAGACAAAAGAAGCTGCGCAATCTCAGCAACATTGCAATGCTCCTGGTTCCTTTTTGCAAAATGCAATCCAAGTGTCCCAAATTGTAAATAGGATCTTTAAAAACTAATAATATGTAAACTTAGGCCTTCAGGTGATACCCTGTCACGTATCATTCTACTCTGTCATTTAACAAATAAAATAATTGTTTGGAAAAAAAAAAAAAAAAAAAAAAAAAAAAAAAATCCAAGTGTCCCTGTCGCTCTTGCACTCAGTGCTTCGAATCGGTTCGTTGCGCTCAAGAATTAGCAACTAAGTAATTTTTTCGGAAATGGAATCGCACCTAACTCCTTTGAACACATTCGAATAATCTGCAATACTGTCCAAACTGCAAAATTTGTGCAGTCTATCTGACAATGCAGTTGAATGATATGTTCAAATTTACTTACAGCACTTTAAGGGGGGGGGGGGTGTTTTTCTATCCTAATGGCAGAGAATCGCGATGAGCCGCGTTACTTCCTAATCCCAGTTTTCCCGGACACTTTCATGGTCTATTCCGTTCCATCAGTTGCGATTTTGCAAGTTAGCAACACTGTTTTTCCTCCATTTAAATCCATTAAAAATAATTGAGGCACGATGCCTCGCCTCACCAAGAACCGAATGTTTGACACACATTTAAATGGAGGAAAAACACTGTTGCCAGCTTGCTGAAGTCGCCACTGTAGTCTGTACATTCCGGTGGAACGCTTGGGCAGCTTTTTCAATATGCATGTGCGGTTCTGACCTCAAGCAGAGCCGCTCAAATCACGCAGATAACCAAGATAACCCGATCCTTCGATTTCCCCGGGTTCCATGGACGAAAAATCAGTTTTCTGGACTCATCCCTCCTCTTAAAAATCGGATAACTGGGTACTCCACAATAGAAAATCATAAGAGTAATGCGTAACGCCGTAACGCGTGCTTTGGGGGAGTTTGATTGTGAAGCATTTAAGGGGCGTAGTCTCATAGTGAGCTGAAAATAAGTTCCCTATCGCAAAATGCTATCCAAATCTACAGTGGTCATTTTAAAAGGACCTATCGATATCACGGATAGATGGATTAGCTGAGATTTAATTACATTTAAATGAGCGAGACGGCCCACAGTGGATCCAGCCAATACAATAGGTCGGACAAAATTTGCAAACTATAACACCGTTTATGCAAAACTTTGAGCTTCTGAAAGTGGTTCCATTATTTTTTTCTTGAAATCGTCTTCTTGTTGCACCCCTTACTCTTTGAAATGAGACGAAATAAACATCAAAATTTTCAATTTTTGTCAAAAATTTTTAAAGACTATTTTTAAAGACTCGCTCCACTGTGCGGCCCTCAGAGGATCGAGTCAATAGAAGGTCAGTCGGAGGTCGGACAAAATTTGGAAACTTTAAACGCTTACAACTCCGTTTATACAAAACTTTGATGCTCCAAACGTGGTTCCATTTGTTTCCTCGCGAAAATTCCTTCTTATACATATAGCACCCTCGAACTTTAAAATGTGACGAAATTAACATCAAAATTAGCAGTTTTAGTGAAAAATTTCATGTCCGATCACCTTTCTAATTGACTCGAGCCACTGTGCGGCCGGCGTAGTGTAATCGGTCGCCTTGCATTTTGTAGGGGCAGTCCTTAATACAAGGGGTTTCGGGACACCAATGCACCGATCACCGATTGGAATTCAACAGGGTCTTAAGTGGTTTTTGTGTATTTCTCGTCGCATTTACAGCGTGGCCTAATTATTGAATCGTTTCGTTTGCTCCACCACAAGACATGTCAAAGCCCTATCTTAACCATGAAATTTAGTTTTCCTAATGTCTTGCGGCACTGAGTTTTAATAATCGGGCCGCTGTAGATCGTAAGACTAGTATCTTATCCTCTACTTTTTTTTTTTTTTTTTTTTTTTTTTTTTTTTTTTTAACTTGAAAGAGGGAACACTTCCAGCGTATTACCGACGGATCACTAGCCAAAGTCAGTTATACATACTACCTTGCTAGAATAAGTGAAAAAAGAAAATTAAAAAAGAAAAATTAAAAAAACCTACCTATCTAATTAATTATTATTGTTATATTTTTATTACCTTATTATTCTTCGATCCTAGCTTCACTGTCCCCGTGTGTTTACCAGCGAGGCTCTCGTAAAGATGAAGTAAAAATATCACCGCACAAAATACCAAGTAAACGCACACCATTTTTGGCTTTGCCCCTCGGGGCCTGCACTTCCCGAAAAACATTCCTGTATCGTATACCAGTACTTCAGATCCCGCACACTTGGAAAACGAGTAACAACCTTCCGTCCACACTGACACTGACTTTTATACAATCAGCTCAGCCTTGGCAGTTTCATACTACTTTACGTGACTGTTCACTGTGTTTTCACCCTCATTTATCGACGGGATTTTGATTAAAACGGACATGAAAAAAGTGTTTTCCTCATGCAGATATGGGTTGCACGCGGACTTCCAAGCTTTGCAATTAGAAATGCAAGTGGTGCAACCAAATATTGCACTCATTTTGACTGATAGACGCACGAATGACGTGACACATCGCGAATGAGAACTCCAGCTACATCCAAAACAAGTGTTGTCTCTCCCGGAAAATGGCTCATGTAATCACGATAAGCACATGCCGAAAGTCTGAATTCATTCCCCATCCTCCACCTCACAGACTGCAAATTAAATTTCCACATTCTTTTAAGCTTTCCGCTCCAAACAGTAAGACTTTTACGGCAGAGACATGTTTGATGCAATTATGAGTCACCCTGGTTCAATGATTACCCAATAACCAAAAGCCTAAATAACCAAAACCCCAAAACCCTTCCATTACAAACAATGAAATCGCATGTATTTAAAAAATACGAAAAGAAACGACAAGTGTAACGGTTGAAGGATTGGAACGAGATGTTCCTCTCAGCTGGAGCCGGTTAGGTTAAGCAACTAAACTAACCTCACGGCTAGGCGGGAAGTATTAAGGGAGGTTGAAGGGGGACAGTCCTGTCCTAGTGTGAATTACGATTGTCGCCAAGGCCTTGCAGTTGGGCAATTGGACCTTTTCGCATTTTGGAACTACCATCCCTGGCTCAGTTTAGGAACAACGTATGTGCCAACGTATTCCTCAGATCAAGTTGTTATATTAGCATGTGCCATCAGCTTCCTTGTGCACATGAGTGTTTTTACAGATGAGCCAGATATTTTAGTTCCTAATTGCAAAATGTAATCGATTTCATTGACTCGTATTCTACAATTAATCCAGGTCTCACTACCGCAGGCTATCCGATTGGGGATATTGGGCTCGACGCACCCGCGGAGCTGAGTCATGTGTAGGCTGCCCCCTTCTGGGGCCGCATAAGATCGGGTGCCTCGAGGGCTGAGCGAGACGTAGCTGGACTGCCCTCTTTGCCCTCCAGTCCTCGGCTCCAGAGCCCTGCCGTGGGGTTGCCGCAGGGTTTGGCGCAAGCTGGGCCTAGGCTCTCCTCCTACGCCCTTGACTCCGGGTACAATGATGGCTTTGGCAGATCGGTCCCGGGGGATGGGGGGACCCTCCCCAAGTGGGGGTCGTAAGGGGCGCTGGCTTCACTGGGGCCGGGGTCGGGGATTCGGGGACTCCTGTTCGAATAGGGACATCCAACGGGAGGAAATGAGGATAGAGCGCCTGATGGACCACACTTGCACGGGGTGTGGCCTGGAGGGGTCGGTAGTGGGTACGGAACACGGCGGCATGCTCGAACCCTACATGACCGGGTTTTTCCATCTCACAGCGGTCGGGTCGGTTAGGGGTCGCCTCGGCGGCTCTTCACCAGGTCATGGCCGTTGCCGTCCCGGTATTCGGTGGGCCCCTTTCATGGGGGGCGTTTCGGTGATCCTCATAATGGGGGCACTGTATCGAATCTTTCCCCTCATCCCAAAAAAAAAAAAAAAAAAAAAAAAAAAAAAAAAAAAAAAAAAAAA